AAATATGGCATAAATTAAAAGAAGCCGTTTTGAGCTGTCAGTTGCATTGCAAAATAACCGTCAACATCTGGCCATGTTTTCTATTCTTTACTTGTATTAGTGCATTAAATAGTATGAAAAACCGTAAAATAACGACGTACGCAGATATCGGTTTGAATAACAGCTCGGTATTAGTATGCAATATGGAATTGTTCGATTTAGGATTCACAGCCAATCCTAAACATAAAGCCATTTCGTACTGTCGAAGTGAAAGCTCAAGTCGCTAATAATGTCCGATGCTTCGTGCTGCAACCCCCTGATGCACACTGATAGTGTAACTGAGATTTTTTAAGACACGGAAAAAAAATCATGCAGCAGCAAATGCGATAGCGTTTAGTAATGATAGTAAACGATTCTAAGCCCTTGAGACGGTCCGTATCGATCTTCCTGCTATTTTGCTTGTTTCTTAGCTGGATCATGTTATGGCTACAGCTGAAGCATGAAGAGCAGTGATTAGGAGGGAAATGGTCGTAAGGAAATTTGGGTAGAACGTCAACTGGATGAAGTCTAAATTGAAGTCTACTAGAAGCAATGCCAAGTGTTAGATGTATCTACATCCACAATAATTAGATATCGATTTTTACTACACGCTATTTCGCTCAATGACAAATTGCGTTTTTACCCCAGTTTCAGTAGAGGATCGACATGCTATTCAGCCTTACTCATATTCTTTCCTTTCGTCTTACTTTCAGCGATGCATAGCCTAAGTCGCGTAAGCTCGAACAAAGTGGTACCGGGTTTCGAATGACCCGCTACTGCCGTATCGTGAGCGCTAGAGCGAGTAAACATGGACCATCGGTGTGCCAGTTTCATCAGGCTTATTCGGCACCTGCATGGCTGGACTGCCTTTCCGTACAGGCCGCTAGCAGAACATATAAAATAAAGTAAAAAAAAAGAAAGGGAAACAATCGGAGAGAGCTAGAAAGAGAGTGAGCGGTGATACTGGAAAAATTAGCTAGGATCGCACTGGGAACAAGATAACATTAATAAGATAGCAACAACGATGACAAGGGCGGAGTGTGAACAGATTTCTAGGACTTCGCACTCAGGCCGAGAAGATCAGCTCTGTTCGGAAAATAAATTACTTTGACCGCTCGTCATTGCCCATTTCGTTACGGAGAGGGAGTAAGCTGGATGGCGATGGAAAAGCTGCAGGGTCAGCTAAACTACATATTACAGTGACGTTAAAGAAAAAAGGGCTTCACCATAAATCGTGGTTGCTTTTCTCGCCTTTTCGACTAACTATCCAGGACCGTCAATGGACGATATTTTCTTCTCTTCTAGTATTGGCTTGATACTCTAATGTATTCAAGTGTACAATTATCAATTTTGCTATTGGGATAGCTCGTCCAATCAGACACTCCATAGGTAACTGAAAAATTGCCCCATACTTTTGGCGCCAGGCTCTTTTTCCCGCCTGCTGGGTAATTAGTCGTCTGTAATGTTTACGCCTTGAAATGGTGCTTTTATGATATCTAAACGACCTCAGCATACCTAATCACATTGCCAATGATGCACCTGATTACTGCTCAAGCAGTCAAAATAATCAAGGAGCATTTTAAACTCTGTGATACAAGGATCAACAAATTTTGTGCACAATTGGTAACGATAAAGCGTTCGATCATTAAACTAACGATATGAATCGTCTTAATGAAATCTCTTATATTCTAATAAATTGCAAATGTTCAATGACGGTGGCTTACATGAATAGATCAGCTTAGTTGCGTAACGTTTTTGCGAAAATCATCTGCGTATTTAAGGAGCTACATACACGGTAACGCAAGCTTCACAGACGCCATTTTCAGAATCACGAACACAACAGGCTAACTATATAGAAACAAAAACTACCACAGGAATAGAACGCCCACACAAACCCTAGCACCAGATGCGCAATGCGACGGCAATCGCTGACATTCGCTGAACTGTCCGTAAAGCCATATGAAGACTAGTCAAAAAGAAGATCTCTGTCCTATACCCCTGCAGCAGAGTAGGCAGTCGTAGAGACCACGATATCACTTATCAGATCAAAAAATATTCGCCTTTAGGTCGACCTAGAAAAATTAGAAAAGAAAAATACCATCGACACGTCTAAGTTACTAATTCAGATACATGAAACTCCAAGATTTTATCACGTAGTAACTCTTAGCATATTCATTTATTGATTTTGAAATAACAGCCATTGGATCTAAGGCGTGAAATTTTATTAGTGAACTACTATTAAGGGCTGCTCAAAAAATCATACAACAGCTAATACTAAATAATGAAGCTTGAGAAAACTGTGTTTCGCACAGAAATGACGCAAAAATAGCCCTACTGCCACAAAGCCGAAACTGTCAACGTCAGAGCCCTTTAGAAAGGAGCCATCAGCGAATTTTTTTTAAAAAACTTAATGAGGGCTTTTTTCCTGCAAGTGGATTTGGTGAAAACTCCTTAAGAAATCAAAATTGATAAGCGATCGACTAGCTCTCCTTTTCGAGTCTAAGCATTACCTACCGTATCCAAAGAGATTACGAACCTAATAATCCCCGAGATTTCCTACTGTAAATCAACGTTACTCCTTTACATGGCTTTAGATTTGCCGTAAGACGCGTGCAGTTTGACGGGTGCAGTTTCGAACAGCACATTAGCTACAATTATCTAAAAGTTCCCTTGACACATCGTTGCTTGCTGGAGTTCTACTGTACTAAACAAAGTACGTTTCCGCCATGCCGCTTCTCACGCGATTCGTCGGTAATTAAGATTGTTAGACTGAGGTTAGATTAAAAAAAAACGACAATCGATGTTATTTGCAGGTATATGAATCTACGAAACACGTAGACGAATGCAAATTTGAGCGTAGCAAAATGCAAAATTATGTAGATGAATATATATTTGCAGTAAAACTTTCAGACATCATTTATTCCTATACTAAAAAGTTGATGTTGTAAAAAAGGCTAACCCACGAATATGATAAACTAGCGTTATTTGGCTATATTCTTATTATCGGTGCATTTGAATACGCTCTACGCGGAGCGTCTCTTTCGACTTCTTGCTATAGCTCCTGAACAAAAAAGATTTTGCCAACTTCCACGGCTTCAAACCGATTTTTCTAGCTTCCTTCCAGTTATTCCGCTCGTATAGTATTCATGCAAGAGCAGCTGTCCTTTTACGTGCCCTATCCAGCGGAACACCGAAGCACAAGATACAAAGACGAAACGATTTCCCATCACCCTCCGAATTGTATAATCATTTCGGTCGCGTTGCTCTGTACACGCTGCCTCGCTCTTTTCTTGCGTCTGTAAAAAATCACTGTCATCATTATTTTCGACTATTTGATGGCGATTTGTTGTTTACCAACTTCCTGTGGCTTTACACTTTACTTCAAGTGCCATTCGCCTTTCGTACATTCGACGGCAAGGTCTACAAACCAAAGGAGTGTACTGAGTCATTTAGTGAACTAGCCTTTTTGTACACTCAACTATTAAGCGAACATACTCTCATAAAACCTGACTAGGCCTTCACAGCGGTTGTGGTTGAAAGAGAGATACAAGCAGACGACCTTGACGAAAGCAGCGTACGCTAGAGAGCGCCACTTGTTCAAAGGCTTTCCAAGAGAAGAAAAAACGCCGCCGCCGCCGCCGCCATAAATATACAAAGTATCAAAAAGCTTTAGCCTTTTAGCATTATACCGATACATTTGATTGTTTACTTTTTTATTCTCCCTATGGTTCCTCACCTTTTCCGCGGAGCGTTACAGCTTCGGTTTTACCCCCTGCCCCAGGTGGACGTCCGCACTGGTCTATGACTGCTAGAATCGCCTGCTGGTGCTATTGCACCCATGTCGTTAGTGTTTCTGCCAGCGTTATTGCTGTTGTTGTTATTGTCAGTTGTGTTTCGCTATTTCATTGGTATTCAGGACACAGAGTGGGCGCATCCTACGAGACTAAGGAGTGCGCGGCCAGCGACTAGCACTGCGCGCCGTCTACAGTCCGTCGTTCGTTCGTCGAACGCCAGCAAAAAGACCCAAGGCGAAAAGTAGAACCAACGAACTGGCTGTTAGCATAGACAAGGAGTGAAGATGTTGTTACCACTACTGCCATTGCGGATCAGTTATACGTTCACTTTTAGCGGTTAGTAGCAACCTCTGCCCTAATACTAGCAGCTGTAAGAGTCCGTTGGTCTTTGCTGCTGCTGCTTATTTGCAAAACTTGGAAGCCCTAACAAGATACGTTCCCCTTACGCATTCACCGCAATTGTGGCTACCGAGCAATGCTAGTACTTGGCCTACACGTTAGCCTTCCCGCCATATTACTGCGCATAGCCTTCGAGCAGATAAACATGCGGTTGCTTACGAGCCGTTGGCTACGACCGCCACCCCTAACACTCTCCAGACCCCCTTCCAGCGGCTTTCGTCCGCAATATGTGAAGATTTCCACACCACCAACGCTGCGCTCTTAGAACCTACGTCATGACTACTAAGTAGTATATATATATATCGATAGCGACGTTAATAGACCGAGTTGGAGGCTGGTTGGCCGGCTAACGGCTGATACACGCTTCCAGTAAAACAAAACAGGGCGACACGCAGCGGGACATTTAGGCAAGAAGTCCAATTCCCGTCATCGCATCAATCCCAATGAACCGAAACAGCAACGGCCGTAACATTCAAGCAACTATTGACCAGCAGGACAACGATACAGACCACGTCATATCGAACGCTCAAGCACTCTCACATTCGAAGGACCTAACTTCGTTTCTCGACCACTAACTAGCTCTTTTTTAGCTATAAGCGCGCGTCAACGTATTCCTATATCAACTTCTTCAATCCCGGAACGTTGTCGGTTTGCGTAAACGTATTTTATTGCTACCCCCAGTCCGTTTAGTAGACTACGTTTTTGACGAGTTCGCCAGCTAGCTGGCGGAATATCTTTGATTCTGCATTGCTTTTTTGCTGCCTGTACGTTAATAAGAACAAGAAATTTTTTCTCATCTCTAAACTGGTTTAGCTTGGGCTCATGTGTTCCAATGAACACCTCGTATTTGCCCAGATTAAATCATAATTTTTATTATATGGCCTATATAGAGTAAGTTAGTTAAGAGACGATTGCAAAAAGAGCATCAGATCTGTTTAATGCTAACCGACAGAATATTAACTATTTCGTTAATATTCTGTTGGTTGGTTAATAAAGTTTCCAGTTATTTACTTGAGACTCTGCAACAAGCTTACCTGTTTGCTGTTTGTAAAGGCTTTAGTACTACTCATTTAATATTACTCATTTTCATGTTAGTCTATTGACGTGTAACAACTACACGTTTCGTCTGTCACGTCTGCTAACTTAAGGGTCTCGCCGTTGCCGCAGACGACTATTATATTCGTATACTGTAATTATTAAAAACATCTCCTGAATACATTACTCAATATAACCATTACAGGGATGCATAGCACAGCCCATGCCTGTATTTTATCCACACCGGATCTACGTATTCATGTTATTCGAATAACCGGCATGAATAAAACCTACGTTTAATGTTTAAGCCATTGTTTAGGCTAATTTCTCGTCGATTTTTTGAAAAGTCGAAGACCAGCTAGCATTAGCAAAGACGATGGCCAAAAGTAACGAACTAAAGCTAAACCTGTTGTTGTTGTTGTCGTTTTATCCCTCATTCATTATATCGAAAATGGAGTTATGCTTCGCTTTTGTCCTAGAGATGGCGCTTAATCTTCTTCTTCTTGGAGTCTTGGTGACGACGACGTTCCTGCCAGTTACAGTAGCCATTATGGTGGTCGGCGAGTCAGTAACTGAGGCAAATGGGAACGCCGAATTCTTTTTGGGATGGAGCGGACGTAAGCTTGCCAGACTCATCGGATCGGTAGTTAACCGAGAATGTCAGCCATCTGCCCGCCCACGATCCCATTGTCAGTCGGTGCTATCTACAGTTCCTCGAGCTTGCCCATTCCGTCGCCACTGGCTTCTTCCGCAGCCATTTCCCTCGTTCTGCATTTTCGAACTAGTGCTACTTCGATCACAATAACAACTTCGTAGTTTGAGCAACAACATCAGCAGACCAACGAAACCAACAAAGCCGACGACCTCGAGGGATGTTAGCTTGCTAGCTCCTACGAAACAACAGCGGAACGGGAGGAGATGTGAAAGAGGTAACAACGAAGATATGAACGCATATAGAGAAAAAAAAGGATAAACGCCAAATGGACAATGTATGGCCCTGATACCCGGATAGCCGACAATGGCATATCCGTACTTTTTCCGGGGAATTTTAATTAGTTGATTGGCAAAAAACGCAAAGGTACGATTAATAACAAATGATTCAATAAAGAATGACTAAAGGGTAACGATTGGCAGGACTAACCGAATCGGTGACCTTTCTGAGGGTATTAGCACTGCGTGCTGCCGAGGTTGCGTTTGCGAAATGACGTTGGTCACAAATAGCTACAAGAGGCTGGGCTTGGGTTACGGGAAGGTCCGTTGTGATGAAAACATGTTCCTTTGAGTTTACAACGAGGTCATTTAAAACATTTCGTTTATGAATTAAAAAAAACTAGGTTCTACGATGTTGCTATTTGCAACAAATGGTGAATAGCTAAAAAAGCAATATTCGTTTGAACATCTTACATTTCAAGTCCTTTCTTGTTAAACGTAATCAGGATGAAAAAAATGAAGATGTTAATGACGGCAATCAATTAGCAGCGCCTTGGGGCAATTACTCTTGTTAATTGTTGGGCTTGGTGACTCCGTCTGCGATTTTCCGACAGTAGACTAAACTGCTAGAAGACAATAAAGACTAGGACAGCAATAAAGGAACTTCACACGGACTGTTGTAAAAACAGCTGTCGAATAAGTTAAACGACATTCTACGAATAGTTAATGCAAGACGCCGGTTTAGTGAAAGATCCTCTATGCTCTCGGATATATATATACGTAGGTGTTCAAAAAGCATTGACGATTTTTCTGATGACACCATAATTCAATGGCAATAAAACTATTAAATCTAAATTAACATCACAAAGGGAGTTCTGCAGAGACCGAAACAGATGAAAATTTGACGTGAAAAATCCGGGTTTATATCAAATTAAGGCTTCTATGTAAGTTCCTCCATGTTTCGCCGACTTCAAATGACGCTCGAGCCTCTTTAACGCGTCTAATATTGTTTGAAATGCGTGATTTGATAGCCATTTAATTAGAAAAGCCGTCAATAATTTTTCGACACTCCAATATACATATGCATGTCAGCGTATTCTGTATATTAAGAACTGGAAGACAGATAGGCTACAGAAATCCAGATGATCTATCACTCATGCTAAGCCTTGTAGGAATTAAGTGCGATGCTAGCCTCAGCGCGATACCCGGTCAACCTCGCTTTCATCTTCGTTCCTTACTCTGCTCATATTCGTCCATTACACACTTTTGATTGAGCCTGTATCGGTTTAACTCGCAACTTTCCAGTGACCCCTTGCTCTCTTTTCCAGCAACTTTGCTATGGCGGCATGTCCTGGGCGCCGAGGAGCGGTGGACCTTGCGACATTATCCAAACGAGTGTTCTATATACTAATAGGAGCTCGTCCGACGTGCCGGTCATCCCAACCGCCTATCCTCATTAGTTCTCCACGGGAGACCGGTAACAGTAGCGGCTGTAGTTTTCCGTGCATATAATTCAGTTGTATGTAACTATCCATCCTGTTGTTTCGCATCGCCATTTTCCTTCCTGCTGTCATTACCCTCTTCGTCTTCTCCGTCCTCGCCGCTTTTCTTTAGGAGCCTAACACATACTAGTATAGCGTGTTGTAAAAAGCATCGTAAGAGTTCGCCGTGGCTTGCCTGATTCATCATATTCACGCTGGCCAATATACGCATCATACCTCTTTCCGGAGCAATGAGATAAGTAGTCCTGCTCTCCTTGAAGCAGACACGACAGGGACGGGTTGTTGAAACGATAGTGGCAAAAAGAAATGGTTATAAAAAGTTGTGATACTGGACACACAGTAGGAAAAATGCTTGTCACTACGCTTGAACGACAGCCGCTAGGTCGACGTTGTACCCTATTCTTAGTCAATTTGCCCCTTATTTGAACAAAAATTACATAGAGGCAACTAAGGGTTACGAAATAAAAGCTAATAAAGAACTTAGTAGGTTTAACCTGAATCGTTTTTGGCTATATGCCCTGCAAAGCATCCTGCGTATCGCATTGAGTATATACATTATTATAGACAGAGCGAGCTTCGCCTATTAGCTTAATTTAATATAAAGTGTTGCCAATCATTGCAAAGCTAGAAGAAGATTGCACATACTTCAGGAGACGAAATGATAATTTTAGACAAAGCTAATATATTTTTATCACTATTTTTAGGTACAAAACGATATATCACTAGGTAATTTAGCCTAAGCCACAAGATTGCTAAAGGGTCTTTTATGCTTCTGTGTATGAATATATGCCACTCTATTTTGACGACAGAGCGTCACCATTATAGTTACCATTATAGTTTGGGCCTTGAGACACGGGCGTGCGGTTTCATGGCGTAACCGCAGCACTTGCTTCCGTTCCGTCGCCCGTTTATATCAATCTTGACTTGTGGTCCTTCACTAAGCAGCGCCGACTGAGAAGCGAGTGGTGTTGGCGCTAATAATGGCGGTAGAGAATGAGCAAAGTAGCTGTGCGATAACTGGCTTTTCAAGCGCGACCACTTCTGCCTTGCACTATTGCAATATATATATATATACTGCCTAGATAGATATACACACATAACCTTCCTGGCGGCTACCGACAGGCCGAACGAGTAGGCTCATTAGCTGATGTTTCCCACGGGTTCTGGACCCTCGCGTCTCCTTCTACAGATTAGAGGATGCTGGATAAAAGCAATACTTCGTTTTCGCCGCTGACTCATAGGGAGGACTCTTTAAATAGAGGAAAAACTATTTATATATCCCATGATGGGTGCGTGTTCAACCCTAGGGCAGTGATGTCGCATACGTTGAAACAACCACATTGTGTAACGTGTGACTTCGCCTCTTTCGTTGTGTTCTAAGTGTATGTTTTGTGAAAATTTATGTACGTCTCCGTGCTCGAGCGTTGTCAGCGTCGTGCTGTTCGCAGGTGTAGCGCGTGCGGCGGCAAACTCGACACAGCACACGATGATGTATTAGCAAACAAAGGACTTATCTCAAACAACGTTTACGGTCGTACAACATCATGTGTTCATCGTTAGCTAAGCCCGTGTTGTCGGGGCACTTGAGACCTACTGAATGGTTGAACTTGTCTGAAAACAATAGGCATCAAATGTTCTAGCCACACGTGGGTGTCTCCGTGATAGCTAATTGTCGTTGTGATGTAGGTTCGAACCTAGGCCCAGCCACATTTCGTTTCGTGTTGGCAGCCAGTCGTTTGATTGAATGCCGAACGGTGACAGCGGACGCAGAAAATCGGAGTATAAAAAGCCGCACCTGGCTCTTAGGTCTATCGTACAATTATAAGAAGTACCGATTGCCTTGTTATAGGTGAAGGCAGGTTGATGATCGCAGAGCGAAGCCTAGTGATGTGAGCGCCTATGAGGGAAGTATATAAGATAGTTTGAGTCTCGGAAATCAAATCATTATGAAAGAAACGGTACACATAAAATATATATATATATATATGTATTTTATGTGTACCGTTTCTTTTTTTATTTATTAATTAAATTATATTTAATTAATAAATAAAAAACAAGATTAAAAGAAGCAAAAATTAGGTGTAACAAATAACAGTGATATGAATAATAATCATCCTAATTGTATACTGATGTTTAATAAAATCGGTGTCTATCTTCAACAGATTGGAGTTTTTGCTTTCAGAATACTTAGTCAATTTCCGCTTGAGTACTAGAAATACAAAGTTCGATAGGGGACACCCAAATCCTGGCAAGCACAACTTTTTTTTTTCTATACTTTTTCGTTCTTCGTTGCTGAAGACAGGGATTCACTTCAGCATTTGTCTTAACCAAAGTACATATAGGCATATAAATTGCTTTTCTCATTTAAACGAATCATAGATGATCTTCTTTTTATGTAAGAAGACACAGTCTTCATGGTCGTTTACCGTGAAACACTACTATTGCATTTTGTCGGCAAAAAATCTGAATGGTGCTCGACACCCACCGCAGCCCCTAGTTCAGCCGTCATCAGCCCGTATTCAGATGGCATAGACGGTTTTTGTCTAGACTATTTCCAGGCGAAACGCCAGCAAGAGCAAATACACTTTGCTGTAGTTTCTGATTAGGCGATCGAGGCATTCTGTGGGCGCAGAGAAGACAGAGGAATCTAACAGTACAAACACATTTACACACACACAGGTACACGCAATTTTTTATAAACACACAGATACGCGGGTATCCACTAACTAACACAAGTGGCAGTACGAGTGTCAAGGGACAGGTTTTTTTTCTCTCGATTCGTCCCATGGAGAAAAATAAGGTTAGGAAGAACTACACTAGTCAGAGTTTCCTCTCCGTCTTTTCGTACAATATATCCGTACGGCTTAGACCGCTAGCCAGACTGATCGCATCGGAGGAATTATTGACGTGTTCATTGGATGGTGGTATTAATGGGTACATACTTTCATCATATTACAACAGTGATTCATGAAAACGGTGTTTGGTTAAAATGTACCGAAGTAACTTTGATAAGTCATTGCTAAGTTGCTAATGTCTGTCTGTTGTGCCTATTTGCAAACCTTGGCATAATAAATCCGTACAAATTTTGTGATCTCAGATCAGATATAATTTAATCCAAGCTACTGGCTTTGTGAATGTGTTATACACGAATGGCTATGATTATGATCCGACACAAGTGCTTCTTTTTCTATCCGTAAGTAATGAAACCAATAGCGCTAAAAGCTTACAGGATTGATTAAAGAAAGCCTAATTTCAAAATATTATTCAAATCACTTGTCCTAAGTTAAAGATTGATTGATTTTTAGTTGATTCTATCTCTTACTCGCCACTAATTGCATGAACTGTTATGCCATCTGCCGAGCTAGGTGTTTCCTAGAAATACTGCGTAACTGTCGTTAGAGTAACAGTATGTTAAGATAATAATATCCTGGACGGATGATGATTTCCCGATATGACCGTTACAAGCGAATTTTATAATCATTAAAATAGTTTTTAAAGAGTCGGATCGCTTTGTTTTGACTAGGCTTGTGTTCACGTATTGGCACCGGATTCACTTTAGCTATTGCATAAGATTTGTCGTCTGTCCCAAGAGGTGAAACTGAAATCAAGATTGAGATACTGATGCTGGCGAGCGTAGCCAGCTGAATCGGAACGACTTTTCGGTTTCTTTTGCATCTTACCCGTGCAACCTGCTCCCTCTAGCGGCAATGTAATACGTACGCTGCAATGTTTTTTTTCTTTCCCTTGTTTATTTGCTATTTTGTAGGCCTTCACCCTACCGATGCGGACCTGCCTCTGCATAAGCCTACTCATTCTAGTCACCATATAGACGTTGCCTGCGTTGTTACCCTCAAACTCTATATTCCGTTGTTGTTGTTATCGCCGCGGCCACTAACAATGTCGGAATTGATCCTCAGATTTTAGCCGCTCACTCTGATGGAGCGTTTTTTGTTGATGTTACTGCCGCTGCCGCCTCCATTCCAGCTGCTGCCTTCCTTACTGAGTGAAGGAAGGCAAGACGCAAAAGGACCAATGCGACGCATGCGCTGCATGTGCTCGGTATGATGCGGTTGCTTGGGCGTTGACACTAGGAGGTTCTTGCCTGAGGCGTCACGTACATGCCGGGCCTTTTATACCTGATGCACTCGTTCGGCGGAAAGTTAGCCACCTTTGCCAGCTGCTCTACCTACCCAGCTATCTGCCTACTAGTAGGCTGCTATCCAGCTGAGTCTTCCCGTCAGCTTTCTTCTTGGCGACAACCGATAGATCAGCGCCTTTTCCCCCTTCTTGCGTCGCTTTCATCCGCTTTGTGTTTCTCATGGGGCGGACGATCTAACTACATCATCAGCATGAACACGAGCATCATCAGTATCACTATCATCATCATCATCGTCGTCATCGTCAGAAGCGTTGTTCCTCATAATAGAGAAGCCATCATAACGCAACTTCTTTGCCATTGCCGGCTGTCGGTCCTACCACTACTTGCGGCTGATTCTGCTGTAAGCCTTACACAGGCCATACTCCTAGATGTGTAGGCTTTCCTACAGCCAAAAACATGAAAAAGAGTAGGCCGAAACACAGCGGGGCCACTGGCGGCGACGAACGTACATTTGTTCTCCCGGACAAAGGAGGATGTGCCAACTGAGTGAGTTAAAGGATAACAACGACGATGGAGACTTCTTCGAATGTCCTGTTACTATCATAACCAAAACTCTTGTTCTTACGGCTCTTGCAAACAGTGCAAGCATACTAATAACTGACCGTCGAGTAATTGCACGTATTTACGGGTGAAGGAAAACCTAGCGGTATAACATGTGGACATAAGGTTCGTCGATTATTTTAAAACATGCCATATGCTGCAAGTAACCTTCAATGACTTCCCTTCCAGAATTGTGGGACTAGACGAGAAAAACGGATGTAGTTTTAGAGTTTTTAAATTAAGCGAATAGAATAATAGTAATTATGGACTATTATTATGGAAAAACAGTAGGACAATATTCCACGAAGGGTCCCTTTTTGGCATTTTGAGTTGTACTTAACCCAAGGTCATTCGGTCATGTTTGCGGTCATACTCAACCATAAGGTTTCTAAATTTTTTTAGTTATTAGCTATTAACTAGAATCAAGTAACCCAACGACATTAATCTAGGAAAATTATAAATTTATTTGAAGCGTAAAATAGGTTATGTCTTCAAGCTTTGACAGACAAAATTACAAGGTGAAGGTCGAAAAAATGACCTGCATCGGAATCACTGCGATTCACCCATATAATGATGAATGAGGGGGCCGTGTGATTAATTCGACAACTTATTCATACTTTAGTAACACTTATCCAACTTAGATATATATAATAATGGTGGATCATTTGATTTTCGACTTCTATGAACTAGTCTCACGACTAGGGGGTTTACCGCAGGAAACTTGTAGTTCTGCGCCTCTCGTTAGTGATGCAGTGATGTCGTCTAGATTCGAATCCGGGAATAAATATATTTCGATTTTTCAGTTGAGTTCTAAATAATAAAAAAAATACATATATAGCTACTTTATATATATATATAAAGACTTCAATATCCTTCAGTGTGAAATGCGGCATAGTAAACTCTAGCTTTTCGAACTTCTGGAGGCATAACGCTTTTATTCTCGAACAAAGCTTTTGCCTTTATTATCGATTACTTTCTGCCATTTTGATGGTAACTTAACCATTCCACTTCTATAGAAGTCAGGAGCGTGAAAATCTATAAGTTTTCGTATCCTGGGATTAGAACAACCTTCCCATTAGAAAATAGGCGATATTTTAAAAACAGTGATCATTTATACGACCAAAACCTGGTGAGTACGGTAGATGACCCAAACTGTTTAATTATAGCTTCTGCATTTTTACCATTGTAGTTAGCGAGCGAGCGAGCGTTATTTTAAAATACGATTGGTTTTTGTCCTGTTTATTGTGTAATTTGATGCTTAATTTGAGCTGTGATCGACGAAACAAAGACCCTCAAAGTAATAACGGATGACACATACACTGAGCCACTAAGGGATCATCATAAGCAGTTGCAGCTCATATTTGATCTCAGCACACACACACATATATATATATGTGTGTGCGTATTTATAATCACAAGTATATATATATATATTAGGTAAAAGTGTCTACCATTATCTTGTTCTAAAAAGTACCTAACCTTTCATGTTAGTTAACGCACCATACATCACCTACGATTGTAGCTACTGCGCTCAGCAGACGCAAGTTC